CCCGTAGTTTCGGTATCCAGATTTGTCTTCTTCATCAGATTCACAATAGACGAGCGGTCGTCTTTTGTACTTATGACGGGGGGCTTCTCTTGTCTCGCGAGCTTCAGACGTAGCAAAGGCGCGGATATGCGCAAGTGCCTGCCAAAGCCATCTGTACAGTCTTCGGATACGACGGAGCCTGTGTAGTCGGACGATCCAACGTCAAGAAGCTTAGCGATGGCTTTGGCTTTGGGTCTATCTGCAGCTTCATGGCGGGGCAGGTCGATGAAATTTGGTTGAATGAAGCCATCCATGGAGCACCACGACCACGACGGAGCTCGGTCATCTGAAGAGCGAAGGGCTTCTGCAGAAGCAGACCAGCACAACTGACCAATGAAGCTATATTCCCACAGCCCGTATATATAACGACCTGAGCTGGGAATAGACTCGGACAATTGCCTCGAGATGGCCGAGACGGCAACCATCTTATCGGAGTCGTGGGACAGTTTCAGACATGTGTATTTCCACACAATATCCTCCCAGAGCGGGATCAGGCTATACATCCCCTCCTTCTGTTGTATATCGTGGTGGAAGTCATCCCTGAGACTGGAGCGACGCTCTCTGGCCTTTATGCCACCGGGTATCCTTTCGGAAGCTTTCATTTCCAGACATTCGAAGAACACCTGTGTATCAGCAAAGTGCACGATCCGGGGAGACAGAAGACGCTCCTGAAGCACCCAGGCCCGCCTATTCAGCGGCGCGGACTCTACGCATGCTTTCCACTCGTCGCCGTCGTAGCACTCGTATACTCCTCCCTTGAGCTGTGCGTGGCCTTCTGGTACGCATACCGTGGCTCGGTCCGTAGTCGCGGCTAGTCTGTTACGAAAGAGACCCTCGCTAGAATCCCACGATGCAGTTGCTGCCAACGTTACGTACGAGTTGGTGTACACCTCCCACATGTGCGCCGCGTTTCGCTGCCAGTCTTCCTTGGAGTCTTGCACGATACACAAGGAGTCGATCCATATATATCGCACACCAAGACATCGAGCGACATATACAGCACCGATGAAACTTTTGGGAAGATCACGCAGCGGTATACCTGCGGCGAAACGCTCCTCGTTGGACCGCACCAGTTGGCTCGATATAGACGGCGTCGGTCCCCAGCAGTGGCTGAGCGCCATGTAGCGCTCCGTGTGCGGGACCGTGAGCCCTTGTACTACGCGGACTTGATCTAGTCTGCCCGGGTTCACATCTAGTAATCGCTCCGGTAAAAACTCGCTCGTCGGGGACGGAGCACAAGCGCAGCTTTCGAGCCATCCAGCTATCTGCTCCATGACCTCGGGAGACCCGGTGAAACTAGCTCCCTTTGTCGGCGTCGTCTGCGCCAATGCATCCTTTTCTTCTTCTTCTACCACCACCACAGGCTCGAGAGTGAGCGTGATGACAGGCCACATCCTCGTCATCTTCCGACCCTCGTCCCCATAATCGACCCTATCAACCGGATAAAACTTGACAGCAAGGATCTGGGGTTCCGACCCGGTATACCATCCATAATCATATCTCAGCGGGAGCTCCTCTCCCAACCCCGCACCCAGAGCCATTCTCGTCCGCCGGTACTGATTCCACAAGATGGCGCAGATGGCGCATCCCTCGAGCGCCGACTCCACCAGGGACTCGCAATCCAGATGATGCTCGAAGAAGGCGCCGTTGTTCACATCCGGAGGCGGACTGGGAACCTCCTTCCCCGTACCCTGCAGCATATGTCGGCACGGACCGCAGAACCCCTCGTTGATCGGATCCAACGGGTGGTCGGGATCGTATTTCTCCGGTCTCCACGTCAGGTCTTTCGTTATCACCCTGTTGATCGAACTCGGTTTTGGTTCTTTTCTTTTTTCTTCTTCTTCTTCTTCTTCTTCTTCTTCTTCTTCTTCCCTTTCCTGCTGCTGTGTCTTACTCTGTTCTCTACGCTCGTCCATGATTTGTAGCCGTACATGTCCGCGAGCTCCATATGCTGCTAGGAGATCGAATTTGTACATTTTTCTTTCTTTCTTTATCTATCTAAACAAAGTTTTTTAAAAAGAAGTATGAACCTAAATAAATCAGTAGATAGATATAACTATCTGCTCGACTACCTATCTATTGCATGTATAACAGAAATTTGGATACCTTAGGTATTTTCAAGGTTAGCGCACTCCAACCAACAACATTATGTAAGAGAGAGAAAGACACAATGACAATGATAAGTCCAAATTTCAATTTCTCTTTTATTTCAAACAAGTGTATTTCACTCTATTACCAGGCACACTATATACTAAAATAGATATACATGTTCTCCATGATTTTCTGTGCTTGACCTCGAGTCCCTACTTACTTTATGCACAAGATCTTGGCGCGCGGGGGGGGGCCGGTGTTTTGGCCAAGGTATCACGGGGCAGAAGAGAAGTACCCCAGCCACGGCTAGCTACGAGTATGTTAGGTAAGTAGGTACCTTGAAATTTCTCAAATTGGCGTGTAAATGACTGCAACTGCTAAAGCCATCCTCAAAATAGTAGAATGACGGGAACATGCCACCAAGGACGCCAAGTCAAATAGGTAAGTATGAAGTCGCTAAAGGTTAAAGACGATGTACACGTACGTGTAAGTAGGTATTTAGAAAGGAGTGTGTAACGATTGCCTATTTCATGTATTCGGTTAGGCTACTCCTATACTCTATCTAAGTACCCAAGTATGCAATAACTACAGCCGACCCTACGCTGATCTGGTATTCCGTTGCCATTGGGTTCCAACAGGGGGTACACCAGCCTTTTCGAGAAGCATAGTCGCAGCCCTCATGAGCATGCGGGTTATCATGGCCTTCCGGTCCTCATTAGGACGTGTGGCAAATGGTTTTCCCGCCTCGGCCCCAGTTGCGACTGGCCGTGCCATAGGTAAGAGGCTAAGGTACTGCCGTGCTGTATCGAAGACCTGTTCTGAAAAGGTTCTGAATGCGAAGTCAAGTGCCCTCTCGGCCTTTCCCGTGTCCAGGATGACGAAGACCAATTTTATATTAGGTGGCTTTTTGACAAAAACGGGGCCGACAAAAGTCGGAAAATATGTTTCGAGTACTGACGCCGCGATTCCCCATGGCGTCATTCCATGGTCACCCTGGAGTATGTACCGCCCCGGCGGCACAGATGTGTCGAGGGCTTTGACATGGGCGGCTACAACGTCGAAGATATGCACCGAAGCCGTGACGACTAGTTCTCCTGGCGTCAGCTGGCCGAGAATATAGTCGAGAAGCATGGCATTCGAACCCGTGCGCAGCTGAGCCGCGTTTTCGGCTAGCGGGTTGGGCCCGAAGACGGTGGTCGGCATCAGCTGCACTAAATCAAAGTGAGGTTTGTATACCTCCATATGCGCCTGCGAATCCGTCAAAATCAGGGACGTGGTTGCTAAGTATAGAGTCCCCGGGTCAGGTAACGGATCGCTCGCCCAGTCGTACGCGAAGGGCTCATCATCGCTCGTTATCTCTGAGGGTGCCTTGGTTAGAAGCGAGCCTGTGTGGGGTGCATGCATGCGTTATGGACTCGACCCTCAAGACTCACCTTGGAACCTCACACCCCTGTTCTACTGGGCATCGCCGTTCTCAGGCTTTCGTCGTCCATATGGGTCCATGTAGAGCGGCGCTGCGGAAGAGGTGACGATGATGCGTTTGATCGACCTATGCTCCATGGCTGCGAACAATATGTTGACCATTACGGATAAGTTTTTGGCGAGACGTGTCTGATTGTCGTCCGAGGTTAGATGCTCCTGTTCCCACATTAGCTCTATGTGTCCTGTTGCAAGTTAAGTAGGTCGCACGGATGATTTACGTATTCCTGGGCCATGGGCGACGCCATATGGATGAAGTAGTCGACGCAGGAAGAATTCAACGCCTTTTTGACATCGCTTGGTGACAGCAAATTACATCTCCTCGGCGTCATATGAGCCCTGTATCTCATGGGTGTCACGGACATTATCTGGAGTAGCTCGCTGCTTCTTCCCCAGAGAGCCACGACATGGTAGCCTGCCTCGAGAACCCCGACCATGGTCTGGAAACCCACGAAGGTGGTTGGGCAAGATATCTGCCGGTACCGTCACCAAACGTGGTCTATGTCAGCAAGTATCACACCAATGTTTCCCAAGCTATCGTGACCAAAGGATAGGGCCAGCTTACCATGACGATCTCCTTCGACGGTTGTGATGGTGTCTCCGCTTCTTGCCCCTTACCTTCTGCCTTTTCCGGTCGCGGCCGAAGCTTTTTTCGAGGTGTCCGATGCATTCCCGTCGCTTGGTGAGCCGTCGACATGGTGATCAGGGGTTAATAGAATGAAGCGCCGAACAACGAAGCTAAAACGAGTTTGTGGATGGATGGGTTACGTTTACGCTCGAAGCAATGAACGATATCTTTGCTCTAGTCTAGCTATACAAGCAATATTGAAGGAATAGAAGATGAGCTGCCGTTGCTAGTGTGGATGTGCGGTGTAAATATCTGATTTGGTCCGTCTTTACCAAAAATGTGTCAACGTCCACACGCTTCCAAGTTATAGCTTCTACAAGTATGCCAACGGTAAACAGCTTCTCTTTCCATTTCCGCCAAACCTTATATTTGTAGGATTAATGTAGGTAGGCACATCGGTTGATACTTCCTCGTCTCGTTGGTTCGATATGTCCTTGTGTGCTTGTACATGGGAAAGAACAAGCACCACCGAATCGCGCAGAGGACCTCCCTACCCTTATGGTAAAGATAGGTCAGATATTCCGATGATTTCTACTAATTCTCTTCTACAGGCTCTCCATTTGGGCGGCCGGAGCAAGAGTGTATTAAAAAAGGTACCTAGGAAGTATCTTGATATTCAAGTACATGTACAGCTAAAAGAGAAGGAAAAGGGCAGCAGTTGATAAAAGACTTTGACATAAACCGGGTCAAGAAAAGAAAACGAAAAAAAAGAAAAAAAGAATGGGTTGCTATTCCCAGTATATCTAGGAAGCATCAGGAATTGAGCCCAATGCGGGGGTCGAACCTAAAGCTTGAGAATCAGCATTTTTTGTTTTCAGATTTGCAATGTGATATGAACATGTTGACTCACCCGCAACCTTGAGATTAAGAGTCTCACGCTCTACCGATTGAGCTAACCGGGCAGAATTTGTTAGTTTTCTTCATCTGCAACATCCACTCTTGTATGAGGCACTTGGCAGACCTTTTTTTCGTCTGTTTATCGTCAATACCTACCTACTGTCTGTCACTGTACTGTGCCTGTAACAGTGGCCGTTACTTGTATTTTCACGATTAAGCTTATCGGACTTTAGTTTAGTGGGTAAGGGTTGTTGTTTCTGTACAGTGCGTACAGACCATCACACGGTCGAAGACGTTCTACGAGCACAAGTAGAGGTACCTACCCTCGTAGACCCCATGGCAATGTCTTCCTTTCTTCTCTCGTAGTATAGGCCAGCATTTGCTTACAACAAGTAATAAAGGTTACCCATCTTACGCATAACAATGTTATTGATATCATGTGTGCCTACTGTGCTTAACCTTATTATGTTAAGAAATGATGTTAGAGCAGACTGGGATTATTTAAAATAGTAAAAGCATATGATCTAGCTGCTGCAAACAGAGGAAAATCCATTACTCGTACAGCCCTACTTTTACTTGAACTTTTCTAGACCTTCGGTAGAGGCTGCACTTTGGAAGTTTGGCTACATGAACCCTGTCTACGAGTATACAATAACACATGGAAGCGGCCGCAATTAGGTTCTTCTCATTGTACACGTAAATACCACCCTATGTAGGTTACGTAGGCAAAGCTCGTTCGTTCGCCTTGTCAGCTGAGTGTCATCCCGTTTCTCATGTCAGCTACGACCTCTGGAGGAGTATCGATAGTCGAGCTGGGCGAGTACGCCCGAGTAAGCATGTAGGTAACATCAAATATGGCAATTAACCTACAGTGGCACCACTGTAAACACAGCATCATTATCGAGGAAACATTTAACCCAGTCAAACGTCAATAGTCTCGTATATGTTGAGACATAGCCCTAGGTTATTACTTCATGATGCGTGGACGATTCGACAGACTAAATGCTACACTTTGGCCTAACTTCTGACGGCCACATGCGCAATGCCAATTAGGTATACTGGCCCTGTCTTCTAGGTGTTGCGTAGCATCAGCTTTGCTGACTGTTCTGGAAGCCTACTTTTGGCGAAGGATCGGCCCAGGAGGGATTCAGTACTAATCAAAGAAACAACATTGACAAATCATGGTTTCATATGTACGATAGGCGAAAGCTGCTGAAATGAAAACTACGATCGATGGGTCCGGAATATACTAAATGTGAAGGTCTGGAAGGAGTTTGGCAAACTGATTCAATGTTCTAGATATCCTGTACTATAGTTGTTGAACCAACATCTGTACTTTTTGCAATCGCATAGTTTTAATCGTATAAACCGGTGCATAGTCGTTCGCGCCTCACCCACGACTGACCAAGAAAAGCATGGCAAGTCCAGAAGTCAACACAATGAGACGGCTACACCCAGATGGCGGTCCCGCGCCCCGCCCCGTTAGCTGGAGCGCGATTCCGGCCGACGATCCAGCGGCCCACGAGCAGATGATCAAGTTCATATCCGAATCGCTAGTGTGCGATATCCAGGGCAACATGTCAAGCGGGTTCATGAAGCAAGTGCACGCTTGCAAAAAGAGTCCCATGTCACCTCACGACAAGGCCGAACGGATGCGTCTGGTCCGCGATATGCGGACAACGCTGGAACGCCTTACAGAAGAGTTGGGCCAGAAGTTCTTCCAGGAATTCCGTCACAGACCGGCTGTTGGCAGGTGGTATGACTCCTGGTTGTTCAACGAGACGCCCCAATTCCTACGTTGGGAACCGGAATGGGCCTTGACGCCGGACGAGAGTCTTGCGACACCCCAGAGTCGCAGCGAGAGCGATAGTATGGATGAGCGTGTTTTCGGCTCCGAGACCACACCCGAAGTTAGGGTGGACCACGAAGACGAAGGCGAGATTGAGGATGACCTGGACGAATTCGAAGACAGCCAGGAGTTCCCCCAGGTTTCCGAGTATAGACCTGAGGCGCCGGTAACCGAGGTAAGCTGAGCTCAAAGGGGTTATTTTTCTTTTTGTGCCAACCATGTTCCGCCTAGGTAGGCCGCAAGTAGGCTAACAAACGCAACTGTAGAAGAAAACCGAGCAGCCTGTCGTCTCCCTGAAGGGCTGTCAGTGTGAGCATGATGAACAGGGATCCGGCCTCCGTCTGTGCCAAAGCTGTGCTTGTAGTGATCAAGGCCACGGCTGCATTGCGTCATGTGGCTGCGATGAAACATGCAAGAACAACTTCAATAGCATTGCAATCGACAAGATTCTCGGTCCCCAAGTCTCTGGATCCCCGGCTAGGCTCCATCCTTGTTTTATCTCCTACTTGCAGCAACATGAACTGGATGAAGAGATCACGCTTGATGCTCTGTTCGAACATTTGCTGTCAGGCCTCGACTATGTACCCGACGGTAACGATGAAGCAATCGACGCGTGGCGGGAGAAATGGGAAACGGTCTGCAGTGGGCCGGATCCGTTGGCATTTACGGAAGAGCTTGAGCGGGAGCTCCTCCGCATAGGATTCGGCCTTGGTGATAAAGGCGGAGAATGGTTCTTCTCATTCTGTTATCCCAATGGCGGCCGGATTGGGAGCTGGCAGCAGGGCCACCAAGTCTGGCACTGCAGGGACTGCGGCAACTGTCGCGAAGGGCAAGAATGGCACTGCGGGGACTGCAACAAGTGCAATTACGGGAAGGATGTTCCTTGTGGTAGATGTGGAGGGGTCTCGGTTTCATATCACCATGGCCATGACCATGAGGTATGACTTGAGCCAAGGTCCATAACTGAGGCCGGCTCCTCTCACACTCAGAGGAGCACGTACACGCCAACTCGATTCGGAGCCGAGAAAGTGGTGGTTACAACACGGTCGAACCTGACATGGTGCCTTCGCGTTGCGGACATTACGGTAGGTATTGGGAACGAGAAGTCGCACGACAGGAAGTCACACAGAGAAAGCAATGCGCCTGCCAAGCTCACATGTACTTTAAATCACGCTCTTTTGGTTTTCCCCTTTTCTCTGTCTTTTTTTGGCTCCTTGGTTTCTGGTCTGGTTTGGATAATTGAGCAGTCGACGGCATGGATATTGGACACACACGATAGAATTAATTAATAAGCTGTAGAATGTAGGTAGTTTCTACCGATACTTTGAAAATCGAGCTGACGGTTTGCTTTACACGTACAACCTCCATACACCTACAGTTGTGTACAGATAAAATGTTGATGTATAATATGGCTGCAGCCAGTTTGTCCTTTCTTGCCGTCTGTACTCGTAGTAATTTTGAGGGCGCGTTTGACTGACAATATTAGGTAATATACCTACTCGAAGATCACCTTACTAACCACATGCAGTACTTTCCTGCGGCTGTACATATAGAGGTACTTAATGTCCCCTATTAATACACAGCAACATGCCTGTAATGTACTTACTTAACTGTAGGGGTAGTCTTCCAGTACATTACCGTGTGGCACCCTCTGTATAAGACGATCACGGTGATGATCTCCAAATCGTGAGACGATCTCCAGGCGGACATGATCAGCTGCGCGTCCTATAGCAAAGACAGTACTAATTCTGAGACGGTCTGTCACTTTGGAGATCGTCTCCAGATAGAGACCGTCTCAGAAAAAATTATGAATTAAAAAAGAAATATTCTTATAGCCATATCTTATACTGTATATATACAGTATATATGACTTATTGCTACTATTTATACTATGTTCCATTTTTAATAGGGTATTTTTTTTTTTTTTTTTTTTTTGCAAGGGTCAAGGTTCGAACTGCAGGTCTACGGTCTACGCATATTACACTGTATTACATACTAGGTACTTAACTACTATACTACGTAAGTTAATTTAATTACACATACGCGCGAAGGGTTAAGTGACATTATAGGTACTTTATGTGTTTTGAAGAGTAAATGCAATTGTAATTGCAATTGTAATTGCAATTGTAGGTGTAGGTGTAGGTGTAGGTATGGCTTGATTCGGCTGCGCGGGCTGGCCCTTAGTATGGCTAGATCCGGCCGCGCAGGCAGGGATTCTCCTTGGCTAGGTCGGCTGCAAAGGTGTAGGTGTAGGTCTGGCTGCGTAGGTATAGGTCTGATTGAATCGGCTGCAAAGGTCGGCTGCAAAGGTCGGCTGCAAAGGTCGGCTGCAAAGGTGTAGGTCTGGCTGCGTAGGTGTAGGTCTGGCTGGATCGGCTGCAAAGGTGTAGGTCTGGCTGCGTAGGTGTAGGTCTGGCTGGATCGGCTGCAAAGGTGTTAGAATGGCTGCAAAGGTGTAGGTATGGCTGCAAAGGTGTTGGAATGGCTGCAAAGGTGTTGGAATGGCTGCAAAGGTGTTGCAATGGCTGCGCCGACTAGGTATGGGATGTAGGTATGGGCTATGTTATGTAGGTATGGGCTATGTTATGTAGTTATGTAGGTAGGTAGGTAAATAGGTCTGGGATAGGTTGGTAATGACTTTAGCTAGCGGAGACCACTTTGGCTGCAGAGACCATTTCTGGCCGGCTGAGACCGTTTTATCTAGCCTGAGATCGTTTTCATTTTTGGAAATTATACCTATTAAGAGACTATCTAATCAGAAAAGACAGTATACTATAGAAAAACATCACTGTAATTGTCTTAAATTATAGAGACGGTCACAAAAATTTCAAGACGGTGCCAAAAGCTTGGATCATCACGGTGATCGTCTCCAATTAGGGGCACCACACGGTAATGTAGGTTAGGACTGCTAGGTTACCTAGGTTCGTCTCATAAGCTTCGTACCTACTCCATGACATTCAGTATGAATACTTGGTAGATGTACTGTGGTCATAAGGTAATACCTCTTCCACAATCCCTACTGCTGTGTAAAGGCAACACACGTTATAATCCGAGTTCCATCCTCATCAAATTCATCTAATTCGACCTCTCTTTCGCATTGGAAAGTCTCATTACGCCCTGTTCAGTATTTACACCTCGCGACGAATACCAGAGCAGTCGGTGACAGTGTTCGCGGTTAACGGCACCAGTCTCGAACCCCCTCCGAGGCTCCGACCA